AATGTGTTCCAAAGTAGCGGGAAAGTATTTTAATTTTCACAAGACTACTTAATTAAATGTTGGACAAATAAGGACACAATATTTTGTAACATTTAACATTCTATGTAATATAAACTTGAAACTTGATGTCGCTGTTTTGTGTTAATTCCCCAACAAAATACCAGTGACTAGATCAAAAAAACACTAGCAGCCAATAAGCACTAGCAGTTTTGAGTATCCATGACAACATCTGACAGCCTCTTGACTTTTTCATTCTGAACACAGCTGAATATTACAGTGTCGTGCTATGCTTATTTGGACCACTTTGAACCCTTTTCCACAACAGAGCCACTCTAGTCCCTTATTCCGCTTGCGGCAGAGTCAGCCTTATCAGTCCCATGTAGCCTCTTGGAGCAGCGCATCCTTTCAAATCCACCTTTTCATGTTTGGTGAATTGCTTCTTGCTTATCCAGTGGCCCCTAAGACACCTCAGATCTCCCACATGTACTGCCCTTTTACAAACCTACCCGCTGAGTTCATATTTCAGACCTTATCGGCCGCTCTCACCTCTCCATCTTGTTGTTTTTGTGTTCGAGAACCATTGGTCTGCCCGGTGCTATAGGCGATGTGCAGGTAGCCCTCTCCCCACTCTCCCACTGCACTAGCCCCCGGCCATATTTCCTCCTCTGATCTATACCTTTCTATGGAGCCATGTCTTATTAATACAAGCTGTCTCTGCCGGGGGCTCAGGTCTAACCCAAGACTCTCCAGGGAGCAGTACCGGCCAATAGGAGCTCAGTAAAGTGACAGTGCTCTATACTGGACAAAGGAGGCGTTGAGATACACAGAGCAAACACACAACAGAATAACAAGAATAGCAAGTCAGAGTTTATAGCTGCATTTTGTTATAATATAAACTTCATGTATGAGAATCAAAATTGTATTAACAAAAATCTAAAATCACTGTAACACTTTATGATGACTTTTTTAAGACCTTTTTAACAGCACTTAAATGAAAATTAAGACCAACATTGGATGCATTATGTGGGCAAAAAACACCAGATCCAGTTCTACTAATGACCAACCAACTACTAAATCTAGAATCTAAAAGCCACTCTGGATTAAACCTACACTTCCCCATGATCCATCCAACGTCTTCCTCTACTGTACTGATTGTTTACTCATTGCCACTAGCGCCAGAAACCAAAGTATTGTTTGCACATACTCCAAACTGGACGTTCATTCACATTACATGATTTCATGTTGGTGTTTTTTTTCCTCCCTCCATTTAACATTGCACTGTAGCTCGGTTTTGTATATAAAAAAATAGGCTAATGAAATGTAAGATCCTTGTGAAAAAATAAGACTTGAACAACATAATTTAAGACTTTTAAAGGCCTTAATTTAGGAACCTGAAATTTAAGACCTTTTTAAGACTTTTAAGACCCCACGGCTACCCTGAATTAGCCTTGATCAATCATGTACCAAGACTGTATTCATAGTGTGCAAACAGTATTATTATTAAGAAAGAGGCCTGAATCATTTTTCTTAAACTAATAATGTTGTATGTTTTGGTTCTGTTTATTGTACTGAAAAATGTAGAAAAACAAGCGTCCTTATTCCGAGCAGGCTTGCATCTCCACCAATTTATTTCTCCTGAAGGACTGCCTCCTCCTGCTTGTTTCTATGAAAATGTTCCTTTGGCTATAATCTTCCACAGTGTGGCATAAAACTTACGGAGAATAGTCAGATGTCTGGCTTTAACTTTCTGTTTCCATGATGCGCCACAACCAGAAAGTTACATACTGTACCTTTAAATAAACTTTTCTTAAGCAAAAGTATTAATTAAAAAAAGAAAAATCTGATTCATTGACTTTGTAAAATATGAAGGTATGGTTAAAATGCAGTACATACTAGTATTAGTAATTTTAGAGAAGTTCTGCAAGTGAAAATGTAATTTGCCTAACCACTGATGGACGTCCTCATTAATCAACTTCAGATGCGTTTGACACCGCTAAGCAAAACCAAAAGAATTCATTTACTATGAACTCTACAGGCAGGTTCTTTAATTAAAATCACTACTGAATATTTGATGACCTTATATTTTACCACATGCGACTTGGTTTTAAGATACTATAATACATTGGAGAGTGCAGGAGAGAGCCATATTTCTTTGCCGGCAGCCTCTGTGGGCTGTTTTGAGCCTGGGCACAGACAAATGACCCAGAACTGAGAAGAAAAATCCCATTTGGTCAAAACTAACATCCAGCCGGTGCTCTGCAGGTCCTAATGTGAACCTGTAGGGGGCAGTGTGTTTGGGGAGCAGCCAGTAATGGACTATAGACAGGTTAGAGCTGGGTTAGGGACTATTTAGGGATTCATCTCTTTATCTTTCATATTGCAAATTGCTGGAAATACAAGTTGATATTATGTGCAAATTATAGTATGCTCCACTGAGATTTTAAACTCCATACACCTTCACAAGAAACATTTGATTCACCGCATTGATTGAAACATTGCGTTTAAGCCATGTTATAATGTTACCTCATTAAAAACATACCTGAAGTTGTGTTTTGTTTCATTCACATGTTTGAGTAATCCTGCATTATTAGGCTGTGAACATCTCCAAAGCTCAAAATGCTCTGCTCCACCTCGTGATGTCATGAAGCAGTAATTTTCAAATTAAAGGTACTTTTTATCTTTTGTTCAGTAGAGACTGACAATGCCAAAGCTGAAATAATACAAATGATTCTAGTGAAGGTGTATGGAGTTTAAAAACACAGTGGAGCTCTTCCTGTATTACCACATGGCATCACAAGAGTATGTTATTAGATTCTTTTTTCAGACCAACAGTCAGTCAAGAGAGACCGTTTCGACTGTCAAAACTTCAGCAGTCAAAACTGTCAGGTCTTGGTCTGAAAAAAGAACCTAATAACATAAATTATCAGAAGACCAAATGAACCTCATTGGACTATATCACAAGAACTCAGCCATACAAGGTTTGTGTGTTAAATTATAATTCTAACAGAGATCAGAACATTTAAATGAGATGTGTCCTATACAAAATGTTAATGATAGGGAGAGAAATTGGAACATCTGGACGTGTTCAAGGGTGTCCTCTGGTGGTACACTTTGTTTAGGCTGTAGGCTCTGAACAGCTGTGTGGAATATAGGCTGTACACAATATGAAGTCATTACTGTAGATGCAGACTGTATTTACATAGCTTGTTAAAACAAACCTATTATGCAAAAATGACTTTTCACAGGTTTTGACCATGTTATAGTTGTTTATTTATTCACCTGAAGTTGTATTTGGAGTGATTTGTACATGCTTGAGCAATCTTTAATCACTTATTTTCAAGATGTGATTCAGCAGCATCATGTCGTCACTTTGGTACAAATGAAGAAAAAAAATCCATGGGTGTGATCTGTAGCTATCCATAAAAGGTGCTGACTCTTTTTTGTGATGTTTACGGTAACGTCTGCTCCCATTGGGTACTGCTGATTTCTAATGCAAAAGTCAGCGCACTTGTTATTTTTATTATGTAATTTTAGATGAATATTTAGATTTAAAATGTGCAAATTAAAACCTAAAACACATGATCCAGGATGTCATAGATCAGTGTTTCCCAAACGTTTTTTTCTGAGGACCCATATTTTAAAAGTCACAAACCTTCATGACCCAAGTCAATAGACATTATTCACGAATCACAAAATAAAGGTGGATTTGACCATTATTGAACATTAATGAGGATATTTTATGACTGAGTGATCGTGACTCTCTGAAAAACTCAAGTTTTACACAATGAAAAACAATCAATGAACTAGAAATAAAAGGGTTTCATAACTCATCTATTTGGACATTAAATGTAGCCCATTTCTTTTTCTTTTCAACATTCCAGCAATATTGGAACAAAATAGTCGATAAAATATTTAGAAAAGGATCAGAAATTATACAAAACATGTCTTAACATTTGAACATTTCTAAACAGATAGGTGGGCCTGTCGGCATTTTTGTAGTGTGTTCCAGAGCGCAGCAGCAACTCAGACTCAGTGTTCAGTCTGTTTCTGTGCTTTGTCTTCATTTTTGTGAGCACAGAAAATCCCAATTCACACATATATGTAGTAGCGAAAGGAATAAGCATAGAAACACCGGCCCTACTGAGGACAGGATATTCTGACAAAATGCTTATCCAGAATGACGGTAAAGTCACAGATCCATAGTGTCTTTGCAGAGCGCGATCTCTCATGTGTCAGGACTGTATATTGCAGACCTACATGCAGATCGTGACAAGGTGACCCACAAAAAATCTCTTGTGACCCACCTGAAGGTTGCGACCCAGTGTTTGGGAAACAATGTCATAGATTATAACTATAGCAGACACAAGCACAATATGTTTTCTTTAAGCTTTGTTAACTGTGTTTTAAACTTCTTACACCTTCACTAGAATCATCTGGATGATTTCAGACCTGGAATTACTACCTCTTCATGACATTATAAGGTATAACAGAGCATTTTGAGGTTTGGAGATGTAAACAGACTAATAAACCAGGATTACCCAAACATGTGTGAATGAAACAAAACACAACAACGATTAAATTTTTGATGAGTTAACAACATTATAATAAGCCTTAAAACTCACAAGAATCCATTTTGTGTAACTTAAAGATACCTACTAGTCTCCCTACAAACTGACTGTGTTTATTCGTGCCTTGTTGAGTTCAGGACATTTGTGTAACAATGCTGTATTTTAAGTGCATAATTATGCCTCTTTGGGAAAGGGCAGTGAGTGTGGTCCTACAAATGTCCCCAGGCAAAATGTGCTCTTATAATGGGAGGCTGCTGTGTCTCTCCCTGGGCCAATTTTAGCAGATTTATGAAGGATTTTTGTGCAGGTTTTATGCTTCCTCTCTGTGTGGGTGATTTGTTATGCCCATAGTCTTTATAGCACTTTGCAGTTGTCATCTGCTTTAAGGAAATGCATTGAACATCTGTCCCCCCTCTCTCTCTCTGCTTTCAGGTAATGAGCTGCTCTTCCGTAACCGCGATGGAGACGTAGTCAAGTTCAATGTCGACACCAATGAGACGACAATTTTGGTGCACAACAAGAAATTGTGAGTCTATTTTGTTTTGTTTTGTTTACTCACACATTAACAAGCTGGCTTCTACTCTCATCACGTTAAAAGGACACTGAAATGGCTTTACTCACTGCTCAGTCAAAATATGAAAATGCTAATGTCCTTAAAGATGCACGATGTAACTTTTAGGTTCTGGGTACGTCACTTTCTTTTTTCTATGGATACAGTATGTCATTGCTCTGCTTGGAATGTTCCACAGTATGACATGAAACAGATCTACCTTACGTTTATTCAATTAGAGGTGGTTTTGCTGCTCAAATAACTGGAAAAACAAACATTCTGACTGCGAGCGAGGTTGCCATCCACAGATCTGATCTGTAACTTGGCCTGGTTTTGGTCTCCATGAAGATAGAGAGGTTTAATACTACACTGTGAAGCATTCCAGACAAAGCAATAACATCTCCACGGAGAAAAGGATTTGGTGTGGCGTCCACCAGAAAACTTACACAATACACCTTTAACCGAATTTTATGAAATAACAAATACATTCTCATATTCCCATTTGTTCTTCAATTAATAGGAAAAAACAATAACATCTCCATTAAGCTAAGCAGGTGGCAGAACATGCATCAGAAATATCTCATAGTGAGCCTTTGATCAAATATTGTTCCACATTCACATTGTAAATTGTGAGAATGATTTTGAATCAAATTGAAAATCTGAATTGAAAACAGTTGGGTTATTTATTCTAAAAAAGTATCATATATTTGTTACTGGGATACTGTCTCTATGGCCAAATCTGAGGCCATGACTTTTCATTTTACCATCGGAAAATGATCATGTAATTAGTTTATAGTTGGAGCCAGCCTCTAGTGGTAACATATGGTATTGCATCAAACTATTTATTTAACTCCAATTCCTGTGTTTCAGATGACATCACACAACTCTGCATAGGCCAGTTCTTGTTCATAGCGATTGGGGTTAGATTATGTTATAAAGAATAAAGGCTCAGTCACTAATAGACCTGACGAGGTTCAACATTAAAGGTGCACTATGTAACTTTTTGGTTGGGGGTCCGTCACTTGCTTGTTTCTGTGGATATGTCATTGCTTTGCCTAGAATGTTCCACAGTATAACATTAAACAGCTCTACCTTACATTTATTCAACTACAGGTGGTTCTATAGCTCAAAAATAGCTAGAAAAACAGACATTCTGACTGTGAGTGGGGTTACCTCTCCGCAGACCTGACCTGTAACTTGATCTGGTTTGGTCTCCTTGAAGATAGAAAGGTTTGGTAAAATGGTCACATATTTATTTAGCGCTTTTCCACCTTCAAGGCACTTTATAACAAGGAACCATTCACCCATTCACACAGACATTCATACACCAGTGTACACAGACACTAGGGGCAAGGCAGGTTAAGTGTCTTGCCCATGGACACAATGACAGCATTCATCTGTGGGAGCTGGAATCACACCTCCAACCTGTGAATCTGTGGATCTGACCGCTGAACCAGTGATGTTATATGTCGAGTTTTATGCCATACTGTGAAACATTTTAGACAAGGCAATAACATCTCCATGAAGAAAAATATTTAGCGAAGCCTCCACCAGAAATGTTACACAATGCACCTTTAAAATGTTATATGATCAATCAACTGGTCCCCGATTTGACAGTATAACACCATCGCTTCTGTCTGAAAACTCCCAATAGTGTTAGATTTAGCCTTGGCCCTGTAGCGCTATAATGATAACACGCAGCATTATCCCCTGTCTAGGTGTTAAAATGAATGCAGTTGTAATTTGCTTGCAGACACTACTAATCCATCAGCTTCTTAAAATTCATTTGAAAACCTCTGCATGGCTCACGGTCTTTTCCTCTTTTCTGTCTCTCTCATCAGGAAATGTACAAAGCCACCAAGTACGAGGTTCTCCCGACCTGAAGCATGTGCTGCTAGCTTACAACGTCGCTCCGGTAAGCCATCTCATTTGTTTTTGCTTGTTTTTTGAATTAGCCAGCTGACAGGCAGATATGTCAACAGTGCAAGGGTTTATGGGTAGACTGGTGGAGCGGGGAGAGAGGGGGCGTTGGGGGTTGAAATAATCATGGCGGTGCATAGGGTCCTGTCTCAGTTGGATGGTCGGCACTGACGCTGGAGGAGAGGAACAGTCAACTGGAAATGGGGAAAACTGGAGCTACACGGGCTACAAGAGGAAAGGGAGAGCTGGAAGTACCATAATATCCAGTGGGGTTTTTAAATGAGTTTGTACAAGGTAAAATGTCCCAGGATGCCAAGATTTGTGCTGTTTAAAAATGACTTATCAAGGGCTTGAAGCATATTTGAGGTCAATGTAGAATATATTATCTACTAAATGTGATAATAAATGAGTGAATTCTGAGCTCGCTGTATAACCATATAACAGAATAGCTTTGAAATAGCTTTTGGCATATTTATTCATTCATTAATATTTATTTAAAGGTCCTATATTACGCAAAATCGACTCTAGTGTGCTTTAAGCCATGTTATAATGTTGTTTCCTCATTAAATGTACATTTCCTCATCTAAGTCTACATCTCTAAAGCTAAAAATGCTCCATTCCACCTTGTGATGTCATGAAGAGGTAGCTTTCAATTTAGCAGATCCCTTTTACCTTTAGTTTAGTAGAGATTAGTTATTCCAGGAAAAAAACTGCTTTGTAACACAAATCAGAGCATAGCCTAATATGGACCGTTTAAGGGTTTGCTCTGATCTGTGTTACAATGTTATTTTTACAGTGTAATCCCTTAGAGATAGGGTGAGGAGCTCAGTCACACGGGAGGAGCTCAGAGTAGAGCCGCTGCTCCTCCACGTCAAGAGGAGCCAGCTGAGGTGGCTCGGGCATCTGTTCTGAATGCTTCCTGTACGCCTCCCTCGAGAGGTGTTCTGGGCATGTTCCACCGGAAGAAGGTTCCGGGGAAGACCCAGGACACGCTGGAGGGACTATGTCTCTCGACTGGCCTGGGAACACCTCGGGGTCCCCGCCAAAGAGGGGTGAAGTGTCCCTGCGACCTGGCCCCAGATAAGCAGAAGAAAATTGATGGATGGTAATTCCAGGGCTGAATGTATCCAGATGAGTCTAGCGAAGATGTATGGAGTTTAAAAACACAATGGAGCTTTTCCTGTTTTACCACATGACATCACAAGGTGGAACAGAGTGTTTTCAGAGAGAAGAAGACAGCCTTAATATACAGGGTTTGTGTGTAAAACACACAAACACAACAGAGCAGAGCATAGTCTAATATGGACCCTTTAAAATGCAGCTTTCTTTAGTAATACACTGAGATCCTGGATATACTCACTAATCGAAATAATTCAACAATTCAGGTTCAACATTTGTGCATTTATCTTTTGAATATTTCATGGCAAAGTACAATTTAATCAATAGGGAAATATTTCTCTTGCCCCCATCTGGCATTATGTCATCACTACAGTCTATAATCTGAAAACCACAATACCAAAAAGCCTCAGGACACGCAACTAAACAAATGATTTACACACACACACACACACACACACACAAAGCATGTGCCTTTCTGAATAATTTTCCAGAGAGTGCAGGCAGGTGAGATGTAACCTTGCCTTATTGCATGAGATGAATATAGAAATCAAAGGAGCGCCGTGGATCTCTACCATTCTTTTGTACGTGTTTTTGCATTTATTATTCTATCCGTATTTTTATCACCTTCATGTATGATGCTGAATGAACTTCCCCAGCGGCTCTATAGACACGCATAATGTAAACAGGATTTCACTCAGACTCAAATGTGCAGTGTGAAATAAAGTTGAATGTACGCTTGTATTGAAAACGTGTATAGCATGCCATCAGCGTTCTGTTTGCCTCACCTGCAACTCACAAGAAGACAGTCACGCTACAATAATAAATGGACACACGCAGATCAAGGCATGTGTGAAATTAAGCAGAATTGGCTCTAGTCGCAATTGTAAACAAATGTAAATGCTGAAGAAAACATGCTTTAACTTAGCAAATTATCAGTATTTAAGGTCCTATATTACACAAAATTGATTCTTTGCGCTTTAAGCCATGTTATAATGTTGTTACCTCGTGAAAAATATACCTGGAGTTGCATTTTGTTTCACTCACACATGTTTCATTAATCCTTGTTTATTAGTCTGTTTGCAAGGGCTGGGCAATATGGAGCAAAAAAATGTATCTCGATATACGATATATATCTCAATATCTGTACAGGAAAAATAACCCAGCGAAAAGTACTGCAAAAACAAATATGCCAAATTCCACAAGGTCTTCTTTTTTATCAAAGTGGAAAGAGGTAGGCAGTTCGTGTAGAAAAGTGCTTCTGCGACATAAAAAAAAAAAATCCCTGTATACAAAAATAATAATTTCACTGTAAAATAAAGGAATAAATAATACATATTGCCTTCCTTTCATTCAAAAATAAAACAACTCAACTCAAGCTCATCTTTGCATTAACTCTGTTAACCATATGATAACTCTGAGCTCCTTCAGCAGAGGAAGCTCAGGGAGGGTCCTTATTTTAGATCCATGTTTCTAACCAGTGTTAATGAGGTATCCCACAAGCCACTGTGCAGATCAAACTGAACATTTTCAAATACTATTATACAAGTTCTACACTGCAGCAGATTATTAATTAAAATCCTTTGCATAAATAAACTTTACATTACTAAACATATAAACCATAACCACTATAGAGCCACATCAGCCCGTTTGATATTATAATGTCTTTAATGCAGCTTTGCACACAGCATATTTGTTTACATTTTACAGAAGAGAAACTTAAAGTGACATGACTAATTTACATAAACTAAAAGCCCTGAAAAAAAAAAAAACATCTTGCTCCTTGTGCCGAGCGAGCAGGAGAGAGCACAGAGAAGGCAAACAAGCAAAGCGGCGAAATCAGAATAAATAAATATAAGCATTATATCGATATATACACGATATGTCAGAATCCATTTTGTGTTAAAAAATATCTCTATATATTTTAAAAATTGAGATATCGCCCACCCCTACTGTCAAAATGCTCTGTTCTGCCTTTAACAGCTCCTTTTACTTTTAGTTCAATAGACACTGGCAAAGTGTATGGAGTTTAAAAACACAGTGGAGCACTTGCTGTATTACCACCTGACATCGCAAGGTGGAACAGAGTCTAAATATGCAGAGTTTGTGTGTTAAACATGTGTGAATGAAACAAAACACAACTCCAGGTCTGTGTTTGATGAGGAAACAAACATTATAACAGAAAATTGCATCATACGGCCTTTTTAATTATGCAAATACTGAACATCAAATAGACTGAAAACCTTGTGCATAACTCAACTCAACCACTCTTGAAAGTGCCTTTAGTTTAGTCCTTTTCCCTCTTTCCGTTTCCCAGAATGCTTTGCACAACTGATTAAAAACCCAATTTATCCGTCTCTGAGAGTATCCTGTGTAAATGGAAGGGGGGGAAATTGGACTGCAAATTCCGTAGTTCATTTTCCGAGCTTGTTGAGACCAATTTGTTTGAAGTAGTTTGATATGACTCTAGCCATACAAAATCAGATTAGGAAGTAAAACATCTTACCTATTTTATCAATATTCATAATGACTTTATTAGGGCAAAATTGGGTAAAAGTAAGAGAAGACATCTTACTTAACATCCAATCTTTTTAGCAAAGTGGATCAGGCCAGTTCAGCACTAAATCTATGGCAGGTCATTTTTAGCAGCTCTACGTCTCTCCTCCCCATTTAAAGTTGGACTAAAGGGTTTTGAATTAAGTGTGGTTGGGCTCAGATCACTGCTTTAAATCAGACTCACTGCAGCTATAAAAGACTATTACAGACTCCACTGTCCAGGCGCAGCAAATGACCACTGAACCTGTTTAAGACAAAGAGGAGACTGTGTTTAAAGTGAGGATGTGTCATTGAAACAAGCAGTAGTAGAAAAAGTACTCATTTTTAGTTACTTAAAGGTGCAATATGTAACTTTTAGGTCACGTTTTTCTATGGATATGTCTGGAATGTTCCACAGTATGACATTAAACAGCTCTACCTTACATTTATTCAATTACAGATGGTTTTACAGCTTGAAAACACTTTAAAAAACAAGCATTCTGACTGTGAGCGGGGTCGCCTCTTCACAGATCTGACCTGTAACTTGCTCTGGTTTGGTCTACATGGAGACTGAAAGGTTTAATGCCATACTGTGAAACATTACAGGCAAAGCAATAACATCTTCATGGAGAAAAGTATTTCACAGACTCTCCCTCGCTCCACCAGAAAAGTTACACTATGCACCTTTAAGTAAAAGTAAAAGTACAGATACTGGCGCAAAAGTAAAAGTATCACATGAAAAAATATACTTAAGTAAAATTGTTAAAGTACCTGTTTAAAAATGTACTTAAATAATTAAAACTAGTAATAATTTCAATGTCTAACGTAACTGTCTTTCTCTCTTTCTTTCTCTCCGTCCCTCTCTATTGTCCTTATTCCTCTCTGTCTCTCTTTGTCCATCTCTCTCCATCAACCCCCATGCACACTTTTGCTTTCTCTCTTTTCACTCTTTGTCCCTCATCTCTCTCTCTCTTTCTTTCCCTCTCCCTCCTCTCTCCTTCTCTATCTGTCCCTCTCTTTACCCTCTCTCCTTTTATCCCTCTCTTTCTCTCTCTCTGTGCCCACCCCTTTACCCGCATCTCTATATCTCCATCCCCTCACCTCCTTACTCTCTTTCTCCCTCTTTTCCTCCCTCAACTTTCCCTCTTTCTCTCCCCCCTTCTTCTCTTCTCCCTCTCCCTCTCTCGCTTCCTCTCTCTCTTTTACAGGTGTACCAATACTCGTACACAGCCTTCTACATTATCTGCAGCCTGGAGACACCGTAAGTACGACAGCTGTGGCCCATTTACCCCGTGTTACTTTTATCTGATCCCTAAATATCGGTGTGACCTCAGACCCCCCTCCCCCCTCCTCCCCCCAGCGTGCACGACCCTGTCAAACTGATATATTCATCTGAGTGAGGGGGCAAAGTCTCTCCAGGCGCCTTCACACGTTCAGTCGTACCTAGGTGTTAAAAAATATAACTTATACTTACTTTACTAATGGTTTTAATTGTCTCTTTTTTGTGTTTTATTATTAACTTAAAGGGCAAAGTAAAGTACTTGATCTATTCACAAAGATTTCAAAAGTCACAAGTATTACAAAGTTCAAAATGTTAATCGAACTAAGGTAAAATAAATGTGTAAAATTCAGTTTTTATCAAAAATCTGACATATTTTTGGTTTTACATTTCAGATACATTTTCTAAAGAGTTTTTATCTGATCTATGTTCAGTGTTGTGCATGAAAGAGTTCAAAAGAACGCGTTCACTGAACATGTAAATTTTTCTGTGAACTTTGAACTGAACCCAGCACATTTGTAAATCAAGAACTTGAACGTGAATTTGTTCAGATTATGTAAGATGAACGCCTTATGTCACTGTTGGGGTTCAATTAAACGCCGGAATTTGCTTTCACCTGATGAGTCAAGTGACAAGGTCTGCTCACACTTTTTAAACTGCTTGTTGCTCTGTCACTCACTGCCCAGGGCTCCTCCTGCACAGCCTCACCAGAGAGCACTTGTGTGTGCAGTGCATCTTGGGTAATGTAGTGTGAAGTAGGGATGGGCATGATTAGTCGACTAATCGATTGTTAACAATTTCGTCGATCACGTTCATTTTTAATTGACAAACTGAATGTAGGTTGCTGTGTGTAGCGTAGGGAGACAAGGCTGCGTCTGACAGTGCAAACACTGGAGTTGCAGCCTCACAGTCCCACGTTTTAGCTCTGGCTCCTCCTTGGAGAACACTGTACCACTCAGTGAATGCTTTTACATGCACATCAGTGTCTTTGATATGATCGGGTTTTTTGAGTATCCTGGTTTCGTCATGATGCATGTATATGCAGTGTCCCCATCCTGATCTCAGACAACATGATTTTGGGAGCGTCAAAGCCTAATTTTTTGCAATGCTCCTAAAGCCCCATTTATGGATTTATGGGTCTGCATCGAGATCTATATGTGAAGTAATTCACCGCCACAATGTGAGGAGGCAAGGATTTAAACCCAGCATTCATGTAAAGTTTAACATGAACCATCTCTAACACAATAAAAGCACAGAACAGACTCACCATCAGCACATTGTCTGTCACAAAAAGAGCACACATATTCCACTGAGTCGTGTCCTTTAGTCTTTCAGAAGTGGACCGCATCAGGGCACAAGGAGCGAGCTGTTTTTTTCAGCACTTATTGTCTGTGTCGTTTCCCCTGCTGTCTGCATCATTTTGATGCGTAGTTAGAAAATTTTGGAGTTGCATGTGGGTGGCGCAGATGGTCTGTGTAGGGGTTCATGTCAACGCAGAGTCTCTGCATCATGAGGCACATGATTTGACACTGAACCATAAACTGGGCTTTACGGTCCAGCGTCAAATCACCGGTGCAGGACTCTGGTATGATGTAAGTCTGTGATGTTTGCAAATGTTCATGTGCACTGAAACTAGATTTGAAAAAAATCATGAATGAAATCAAAAGGGCAATATAATAATATAAAATTCGCAATTAAATTTTTTCTTAAAATTGTTCAGCCCTAATATATGTTATAATGTTGTTTCCTAATCAAAAACATTCACACTTGCTGGAGAAATGCTGCATTATTAGTCTACATCTCCAAAGCTCTATTCCACACTGTGATGTCATGAAGCGGTAGTTTTCAAGTGAAGAGTTACCTTTGACCTTTAATTCATTAGAGATTTGCAATTCCAGAGTTGCGATCATCCAAATGATTCTGGTGAAGGTGTATAGAGTTTAAAAACACAGTGGAGCACTTCCTGTATTAGTGTTTTCCATTTGCGAGAAGAACACTAAACACGCAAGGTTTGTGTGTTAAATATGTGTGAAAGAAGCAAAACCAAAATCCAGGTATGTTTTTGATGAGGATACATTATACCAGATCAGAAAATAGCATAATATTGGCCCTTTAAATATAAATCAATCAAAATAATTACAATTAACCCCTACATTTTTAGCGTGACAAGGCACTTTCTATGTACACAGGTGTAAATGACTTTATAAGGTCAAGGTAAACTCTATATGCACAGTGCCCTCCGGTGGCCAGAGGCGGTAGTGCTGGTCTCCTGATGATCTCATTCATCTCCAGCCCCAGACAGAGACATAAAAACAGAGACGCTGCTAACTCACACCGCAGCACTTTGGCCAATCAGTACACCTCTAGAATTTATGTATGTCTTAAACCTGTGTTCTCTGATCTGATTCAATTGTCCTATGATGTCAACGTTTTAGATGGAGGGCATGAGGTAAGAATAACAACAGAAAATTCAGAATATTCACCTGAACTTGGATTATATTTGGATTTGCATTTGGTATATGCTCTTTTTTGTGAAATATCGGTTTTAATATAACTGCTCCTGCATAGTTGATATTAAAAAATATGACCGTTTTGTTTTATATATACAAAACTGACTCTTGTGAGCTTTTTCATATTATAATCCTGTTACCTCATCAAAAACACACCCAGAGTTGGGTTTTGTTTTGTTGCATTCACACATGTTTGAGTAATCCTTTATTATTAGTCAGTCTGTATCTCCAAAACTCAAAATGCTCAAACCATGTATCATTCGTTTTTAAAAATAAAACCAAAAATAAGAAAAAGTGAAAACAACTATTTTGTTCATTATTTGTCTCCAAAACCAAAATGAAAAAATGAATAATGATTTGTTTTTTCAGTTTTTCGATTCTGTGTTTAAATGAATAATGGAAAAACTGATAATGGCCATTTCCTGTTTTTGTGACTTAAACTGCGATGCTGGACTTTTGTGCTACATACGCACTGAACCAGGACTAAAACAGGACTAAAACAGGACTAAACCAGGTCTGAACCAGGACTGAACCTGGACTGAACCAAAATTGAACCAGGACTGAGTGTCGGGACATACCCAGAGGTCGGATGATCAGGACTGACACCGGCACTCAGACTGGGACCAGACCGAAACTGAGACCAGGACCAGACCGGGACTGTGACCGGCCGGGACCGAGACCGGGACCGAGACCTGGACCGAGACCGGGACCGAGACCGGGACCGGGACCGAGACCTGGACCAGACGGGGACTAAGACCGGGACCAGACCAGGACTGAGACCAGGTCTGAGACCGGGACTAAGCCCGGGACTGAGACTGATGTAGTCCTGGTTCAGTCCTGGTTTGGGCCTGGTTTAGTCCCGTTTTAGTCCTGTCCATTGTCCATTTTTTCATTTTGGTTTTGGAGACAGATAATGAAGAAAATTTTTGTTTTTTTAATTTTCTTATTTTTGGTTTTATTTTGAAAAACAAATGAATGAATTATACATGACTTATGCTCTGTCCCACATTGTGATGTCATGAAGTGGTAGCGTTCAAGTTACAACATTCAGCAGAGATTGATCATTTCAGGGCTGAAATTATCCAGATGTTTCTAGTGAAGGTGTATGGAGTTTGAAACACATCGGAGCACTTCCTGTATTACCACATGACATCACAAGGTGGAAATATATTTGAGACAAGAACTCAGCTTAAATATGCAGGATTTGTGTGTTAAACATGCATGAATAAAATGAAACAAAACACGTGTCCAGGTCTGTTTGTGATCATTAAACAACATTTTAACATGGATCAGAAAATAGTGTAAATATGCGCCCTTTAAATAGTTACAAATGTGTTTACTATATTACAGAGAGACTTGGAACCTGAACCCCCCTGAAGTGAGAAATGCCCAGCTGCAGTTTGCTGGATGGGGACCACAAGACCAACAGCTGGTGAGTCCACGGAAAATATTCAAAACACAGACTGTGGAAAATAAAAATGGTGTTTTTATAGCAGTTAATATTCAGCGCCTGTTCCGTCAATGCATCACAACTATGCAAATGAATAATTAATTGCTTTTTTTTTTTTATCTGCTTGTCTTATTATAAAAACATATAAACTAAAGAAAGCATAATTCAGGGTCTGTTTACATTACAAATAACAAAATAATGAACAATAATATCTTAAGGGTTGCCAGATAATATATCCTTTTAAACATGTATTGTATTCTTCCGGATGAGTGAGCACGAATCTATACAAATACAATTCAACTCACTGTTGCCAGATATTTTTCTTCAATGTAGGGTGGTCAAAAGTATAAAAAATCAGATACTAAAACTAGATTTGAGTGGGTATCGATACTAAAAAAGTCACATTCACAGAAATGAAGCTTTCCTGAATAACTTTAGAATGATTTTGAGCTGTATAGAACAAGTATAAGAGCAGATAGACTAGTACATGCCCACAGACCACTTTGAAACATGCCTGAACGAACTGAGGGATTATGCAGATATAAGGCCACATGGTAATACAAAAGAAAGTATTATAGGCCTTAAAGGAACTATATATTGCTTGAAAATGATCACTTTGATGACAATTTGTCAGGTGGACAGACATTTTTTTGTCTTTTGGGGTATGTTGAAGATGATATTTGACAGTTGAAAGGCAGCAAGCCCCAGAATATTTTTTCTGCTAGTTTCCTCTATGTGTCTGGATACACTGTGGAAAATAAGAGTTACTGGACCATTTATGCAGTTGCAGTATCTTAATATTTACAAGTACATAATTTTGCCAGCAGCTTTTCCTAAATAGGGTGTTTTTTGGTAGCCAGGCTCGTGACACCTAGTGCCTCCGCTCAATTTAATTTCTCTCCAGCGACTAGGTCAGGAATCGGAATACACTAGACGGTTCGCGCACTGGCCAGTCAGCAAAGAGCTGTGAAGCCTTAACAAACACAAGCGCCTGTCTGGGTCCCTTTTGTGGTACAGCACAACAGTAAACAAAGCGGTCGAGATGGATGTAGACAAAGCCATACATTCTGTGTTGGCAACGATTCAAAAGATTGAAGATTTAAAGCCGAAACAAAGAGAATGTTTGGTGAATTTTATCAAGGGCAAAGACGTTATTGCTCTTCTTCCTACGGGACTTGGCGCATTACATATGTCACAACCAAATAGCAGCAATTGGTTAAATAAAAAAAGCACCTGCCTACCTTTGAGCAAACAAATCCCAATGCTGCAAGGTCAGACGGTTTCAACGAAGTGAAACCGGCTGATGAATCAGGCTAGTTTTTGGGCACTGAGACCAAACGGGGCTGAGTTGGAGGTGGTCACTATCAACTTGTGATAGACCAAAACATAAGATAACAGGAAATAATAGTGTAAAAAGGGAGCCTGAGGAGTGGACCTGGCTCCCGGTCTACTATAATTGAATGTTGAAAATCACACTCTATTGTCTAAATAAAGAGTGTTGTTATTATCATCGTGGTATCGGAGTTGGTATTGAGTATTGAAAATTTTGTACAATGGCAACACCAGTCTCCATTAGCTACACTTGATTGTGAAACTTTGTATAATAGCAAAAACACTATTTAAAAAACTTTCAACCAGCTTGTAATTCTCACCTTGTCCAAACTTACCAAAGGACACGGCTTCTCTATACTTTCCTCTCTTTAATTACAAATTCAACTCTCCGAACAGAATCAGCAGAGCATTTCTGTCGCACCACAAAGTCAAACATAGCTGGTTACACTAACAAAACATGCGTAAATGAGTTTATGTTTCAGTCTGTGGCATTACACTGTCCTTGTATTCCCTTTTAAACCAGAATAAACTCAAGCTCTTATGCCTGGTTGGTTTCACTGCTTTTGTATTGGGGACATAGATTCACAGTGATTGATGGGCGCAAAAAGCTGATAAACAGTTCTTGCTTGTGTTACATTGACCAGAACGCCCTTGAATGCACCATTACGATCACTAATTGACCAGCGCATAATAGATTTTAGGCTAGCGCGGGCTGTTAGCATAAATCACCTCTGTTTTACAAGTTTGTTTAAGTGTCCCTTTGTCCAGTACAGTCAGTGGATGTAATAGGACAGGTCTTAATTCATTTTTATAGGATTACATTGCATTGTTGGAGAGGTGCTTTTATGTTATATTATACAACTTATTTACTTATGTTCAATGCACCCTCTTGAGTCGTGAAAGTGAAATTAGCTCAGGTTGTAATAGCTTTTTTGCGGTCGTTTAAGTAATGGCCATAGCATCACATTGTAAATGCAGTGGAAGTACTTTTCATAATTAATGCAAGCAGTACTATTTGCGTACTTAAGGAGGTTTTGTATGGTTTATTAGTAGTTGCTGTAAGAATAGTTGCAGTATGAGGTGGAAGTGTTATTCAATGGATTCTTATGAGCGTTGAGACATGTTGTAATGTTGTTTCCTCATCAAAGCATACCTGAAGTTGTGTTTTGTTTCATTATTGTGCTCTGAAAGGTTGTATAGAGGATTTTTTTAAGGGAAGAGAAATACAGCGACAGTCCTTGCGTATGCGTGACACCAACTTCCTCCTCCAAAGCTCCTTCAGCAGAAACATCTCCTCCCACCTCATTACTCTAGAAATCACGCTTTTTTACAGCCAGTGTGCATTCAGAATTACTGTTGAAGTGACCTGTCTAGAAATAATTTAGCGACCGACGCGTCTTCAGTCTTTAGACCGTTTGTCTGCTTCATTCGCGCCATCGCTGGAAGAAATCTCCAAGAATCACCTCAGTTTGGCTTTGCTCCTTTTCCCCTTCTCTTCTTCTTTCAGCAACCTCAAAAACTTACTTTCTTTTGCAGCGAACTGGTCGTGGATTCTCGTCCGCCATCGCAACAAACTTTGTGCGAAATGTGAGGAGGCTATAATTTGAAAAAGCCTCTAAGAACAGCTGCATAAGCTACATAATCCCCGCGCGCCGACAAGTCACTTACACTAGGGAGTTTGATTGACAACTTAACAGCCAATAGAAAATGAGGCAGCCTCGTTTTCTATCGGCTGATGTTTATCTGGCCTCACTATGTCCACAGTTGATAGATTTTCCTTTTTTTTTTTTTGGTCATCAAATTACAAACTGCTGTGTCTCTGTAAAGGTATTTTAAACTTTCATTGACAATTTAAAACAAAAAAAAATCCTCCATACAACCTTGAAATGCTCTGTTCCACCTTGTGATGTCATGAAGCAGTTACTTTTTACCTTTAATTCCATAGAAATTCACAATTCCAGGACTGAAATCATCCAAATGATTCTAGTGAAGGTGTATGGAGTTTAAAAGCACAGTGGAGCTCTTGCTGTATTACCACATGACATCACAAGGTGGAACTGTGTTTTCTGTTTGAGAGAACCTAAATAATAGCAGGTACATTTGTGATGAGGAACAGAGATCAGAAAACAGCATCATTCGGGACCTTTTAAGTATCAAAATCAAGTTTCAAATGTCAGTACTGTGACCACACTAGAGAATGCATAGGCTTTGTAATAGTAATTTATTTGGCTATAATAGTAGCACCTTTGAAAACCTTTACCCTCAACACATTTACCCAAATACCAGTGTGGTGGTAACTTATTCTGTGATTGAGTAAAAACATGATTAATTAGTAGTACAAATAGGCCTGTTACTGTAATCACTATATCGACTTATTGTTCAATATACGAAAGCTGGGACAATTTATTTTGGGGCTCAGTATTTATCATATGTACAATTTCTTTGCAAAAGTGGGAATATTTCTGCCATTTTTATCTAATGAGGTAAGTTTTGAGCTGTAGGGGGTAGAATAAATCATTTCGCTGGCTAATTTTTAGTCCATTACGCTTTTTATTTGTTGCAGCTCAGGCCTTTAATGATACCGTAGATCATTGTTTCCCTTCAGGTGGATCGCAAGAGATTTTTTTGTGTCACCTTGTCACGATCTGCAATATACAGTTCTGACCTTTTATTGCTGGTTCATTTACTGTTTTTCATTGTTTAAAAATTGAATAATACTAATTGTTCAGAGAGACATGACAGTCAACAATAAAATATCCTCAATAATGGTCAAATCCACCTTTATTTTGTGATTTAGGAATAATGTCTATTGACTTGGGTCCCGAAGGATCGTGACTTTTAAAATATGGGTCCCCAGAAAAAAAAAAAGGTTTGGGAAACACTGATATAGATAAACAAAAAATAAAAAGGGATTATCTTGTGTCAGTGGTATAAAGTAGTTTCATTATCTTTTATCGCAGTATTCTCTTTAGCAATATATTGTGCTTCAAAATGTGTTATTGTGGCAGACCTACGTACAGTTTGTTAGTATAAAAATAGAAATAGAAGTAAATAGAAACTGGTTGACTTTCTCTTCCTATAAAAGTCTCCACCTGCAGTCTTCACCTCCATATCTCTGTGTCTCTGTGTCTCTGTATATTGTGTCCACGGTAACAGATGACTAATGGGAGTTAATGGGCAGAGTGTTCGGAGCTGAAGGTTATGTGCTGTTGGTACAAGTCAATGGTCCAGATGCTAAAGCTTTAATAGAACCGTGTAGAAAACAGAGCCGTGTGCAGACGTGCCCTCCAGACGACCGCCAGACCAGGACAATCCAGGTCCACATTACGAGCCTGGAGTCCAATAAGTCAACAAAGGACTCATCTAACTTTTAAGACAAAGCTTAGGTATATTAAAAAAGATATTGCTTAGTAAATGTGCATAATCTCCCCTGTATTACAATGCTACTTCCACCATGTACAGTCTAAATCAGTGTTTCTCAAACTTTTTTTCTGGGAACCGATATTTTAAAAGTCACAATTCCTCACGACCCAAGTCAATACACATTATTCGTAATTCACAAAATAAAGCTGTGACCATTATTGAACATTAATGAGGATATTTTATTGTTGACTGAGTGATTGTGTCTCTCTGAACAATTAGTATTACCA